GGATGGAGCTTGAGCCTTGCTAAGGAGCGAGCCGTGAGCCCTTTGACCTTGAAGTCTGCAGATGAAGTTGGCACCTGTAGGAAGGAAGGAAAAGACACTTGACCAAGACATAAATAGAGATAAGATCCTTCAGGCCAATGAAAGAACCTGAAAATTCTAGGATGTCAGGGCCTAACCCTGGGCCATGCTTGTGCAGTGAGCAGGCTATGTTGAGCAGAGTGTCTCAGTCATGTGCACACAATGAGGATCCCCCTGGGGATCTTTTTAAAATTCAGATTCTGGAAAAATAAAATAAAATAAAATTCAGATTCTGACTTGGAAGGTCTCGGTAGAGGCTGAGGTTCTGCATTTTGTACAGGCTCTTGGATGATGTGCAGGCTGCTGACCCACGAACAGTACGTGGAGCAAGGCAGGAGCAGGTGGGCCACACTCACCGGCCTCCTGGGAGCTCCCCTAGGACTGCCTGGTCACACTCTCTTCTCTTGGCCTCCTCTGCCATGTGACCGCTTCTCAGTGGGCCACACCTCTCCTGCTTCCCTCCAACCAGCACAGATCCTGTAGCTTCCTGGCAGGGTGAAGGGCCAGAATATAGCAAACACAATTATTGTGCTAAGAGACAAATTTTTTTTTTTTTTTTTTTGAGACGGAATCTTCTTCTCGTCACCCAGGCTGGAGTGCAATGACACGATCTTGGCTGATTGCAACCTCCCCTTCCCGGGTTCAAGCGATTCTCCTGCCTCAGCCTCCTGAGTAGCTGGGATTACAGGTGTCTGCCACCATACCCAGCTAAATTTTTAGTAGAGATGGGGTCTCATCATATTGGCCAATCTGGTATCAAACTCCTGACCTCAGGTGATGCACCTGCCTGGGCCTCCCAAAGTGCTGGGATTGCAGGCGTGAGCCAGCACACCTAGCCGCTAGGAAACAAATCTTTAAAAATCTGATATGAGGCCAGGCACAGTGGCTCATGCCTGTAATCCCAGCACTTTGGGAGGCCAAGGGGTGTGGATTACCTGAGGTCAGGAGTTCGAGACCAATCTGACCAACATGGTGAAATCCCATCTCAAAAATAAAAAATAAATAAATAAAAACAGGCATCTTAAAAAAAATCTGATATGAAATGGAAACCTCCAAGTCTTCAGCCTGTTCCCTGGGCCGACTGCTCTGAGGTGACAGTGACATTAGGATATGTGGTCAGTCACAGGGGCACTGCCTTCCTTCAAGGGAATCCCTGAAGCCCCAGCTCCAAGTGTGGCAAGGACAGGACCAGATCCCAGGAGCCTAGGATGGGGGAGCTGATCCACCGTGGCCCTCTGTGACCACAGCTGTAGACAGGGCTGCTTGCAATGGGCCGCACCATGGCCTGTTGAAAGCACACAGTGGACACAAGCTGATTCTAGAGCTTCCTCTGAGCTGGGGCTTAGCTCTCCAGTGGGGAACCATGGTCAGCAGCTACAGCCAGTGGGCAGGATGGGGCCTGGCCTCCTGCCCTCTGCAGGGTCACTGGAGTGTCCGGGAGCTCAGGGTCAGGGCCAGATGACTGTTTCTGGGGCCAGGGCTCCAGCTCAGGCTGTTTGGGAGCAGGAGCCCATCAACACAGCAGAATGCCTGAGATGGTTGGTCTGCAGGGAGCAGCTCAGTCCGAGGGTGGCAGAGCCGTGTGTGGCTCTGGGTCAGGGGAGAGTGGCCAGTGCTGGGCCCTCTCTAAGGAGCCTGAGAGCCACAGGCTCTGTGAAAAGGGCCTGAGCAAGGAAGTCGGGACCTAGCGGGTAGGGAACTTGATTGAGGACATTCCCTGTGGTCACAAGGGGAGGTCCAGGCAGGACTAGGTCAGGAGGAGGCTGGGGCAGAGGTCCAGGCAGGAGGTGGTAGGCTGGGTGGGGACAGGAGTGGCAAGGGTATAGGTGAGGATGGGGAAGGGGCCCCCTTGCCTCTTGGCTTCCCTGAGGGCAGGGCTGGCCAATCCCAGCCCTCAGCTGAGCCCAGGGGCAAATGTGTGCAGGGAGGAGGGGGCTCCAGGTTGCAGCTTTGGGAGCCCATGGAGGCACCAAGGCAGACTCAGCTCTGGAACCCAGCACCCAGCCTGGGCCTGCAGGTGGGGGCTCAGGAGTGAACATGGTGGGGGCTCTGAGCAAGACCCTTCGGGCCCCAGCTTCAGCTTTCATACTTTGAAGTCGAGAACTGGACCTGTGCTGTCTGAGTTTGCCCGGGGTCTGGGCCGTCCTGTGGTTTGCGCAGAGGTCTCAGAGGGCCCTAGGGACAGACTGACCCAGGTCTGAGCTTCTGGGGAGCACAGGGGTGGCCAGGGTGAGACAGGCCTGGTTATGGGTTTGTCCTCCAAGGGGCACATGTACACTCTTGTGCTTCCTGGTATTTAGAAGAGAGTGGGAAATTCAGACATCAGGCCTTCCTTCTCCCTGGGAAGGATGGCAGGTGCCTGGAGCCAGGCCTATCTTGAAAGCCAAGGGCTCTGGGCCTTCCTCCTCCAGTCCCCTGTTCCAGGCCTTCAGTGCACAAAGTGCTCCCCTCCTGGGATCTCTTCAGGGCTCCCCGGGATGCAAACAGGACAGGGATTAGGATCCCACATTTGAGGAAACCAAGGCCCAGAGAGGAGAAATGACCTGCCCAGGGTCACGGACAGGGCACACTTGGGTTTCAACTGCTCCAAGCCCCATCATGTCAGTTTGTCTCACAGTTGGGGTTGGCAACGGGGTGCAGCACTGCCAGGACCCCTTTTTCCTCAGGGCGACTGACCCCTAGCAGCCCTGCTTTTTGAGAGTCCCTTTCAGCAGAGAACCCTTATTTGAGTGACCAGGAACAGACCCCTGATTATCTTGGTGGGTGGACTATGGAGTTTATGGGCTTCCTAGTGCCAGAGATCTGATGCAGGCACTCAGCTAACCTCTGAGCACCTACTGTGTGCCTGGTAACGTCTCTATGCTGGTCACATCACAGGAGCAGGAGCCCCTCATGGTGCTGTTAGGTCCTAACTCAGATTAACAGGTCAGAGCCCCCACAACCCCAGGCATAGGCCCTGAGCCCTGGACACTGTCGTTTGTGTCTGAGAAGGGGTGGGAAAACTTCTCTGTAGGAAATGTCTTCAGCCCAGGATCCAGGGGTGGGGTTATTCCTGCTATCATGGAATCAATGTGGCTACAAGGCTTAGGCAAGGAACGCTTCACCTAGGCCTGCTCAGGAGAGTGACGCTTCCCTCATGTGGAGGTTGGGTTGAGGGTGCCCCTGCAGATCACCAGAGCCCTCTCCAACACAAACCCAAAGTGGGAACCTGGGGTGTCCTTGGCAGAGAAGGGACCCAGCCCAAGCTTCCACTTCCCCTCAGGCACCAACTGCTTCTTGCTCAGGGGGTCTCCCAGGGGCCTAGGGGCAGAGGGAAGGTCTCGGAGGGCTCTGGGCAGCAGACTGGCAAGTGTGGAGGCCTGGAGGCTAGTTGAGGCAGGCGGCCACCTGGGCTGGCTCTGGGTTCAAAGATGAGAAAACCAGTCTTGGGCACAGTGGCTCATTACAGAAATCTGTTTAATGGTTTAGGAATATGTACACTCTGGCTCTGCCAAGTTTCCATAAAGGCAACTTTTCCATGTTTTAAAAAATAAATTTGGTATAAAGATTTATATATTCATAAATAGGTGACATGAAAAATTACCAAATGCAAATAGAAACCTTGGGCTGCCTGAGGGCCCGCTCACCCCAAGTCCAGGCCCTACAGGGGTCAGAGGGTTCCTGCTGGAGGAGGCCCCAACTCCCGCAGCCTCTTGGGGAAGAGAAACTGAAATCCAATGTGAATCAGGAGCCCCTCCAGCTTCTTAAGCCAGCGTCACACCAGCCCCACCCAGGTTTCAGCCCACTCCCATCTGCTTCCCCGGCAACCTCCACCCTAGCCCCCTCCCCTGCACTCTGGCCCCTGACCCCACCTGGTCCTGCTCTTCAGCAACAAAGGAAGAGATGACAGTTCTCCTTTCCCACCAGAGCCCGGGCTGCAGGGTGATCCTAGCCTGCCTAGGGGAGGAAACAGGCTGGTTTTGTTTTGCCTCATACACTTCCCCATCTTCTCTCCCAGCCCAGTCTTAAGGCCTGGGGGGCAGTGGGGCCCCCTCCTGATGAGATATGGTAGGGCAGGAGCCCCCCACAACCCCAGGGAAGATCACCTGGCCCCTCCAGCCCTGGCCCCGACTCTCTCCTCGCTGTGAACCCTCTGAGCCACACGCCCAGAGAACAATGCTTCTTTCCAGATCCTCCCTCCCATTTGTGCCTTCTAACCTTGGTGCCCAACTCAGGGTGAGGCAGTTAAGAGCCAGGAGAATAAAATGGGCCAAGCCGAGGACTGCCAGGGCCTCTCCTTTTTTGTCTGGAAGACTCGACTCTATAAAACTAGACCGGGACCCGCATACCGCTGGCAGGACTTCTGCTTGTGGGGTAAGGTTGGGTGCCCTGCAGCGCCCTCTCATCCTGAGCCTCAAGGATGCTAGATTCTTTTTTTTTTTGTTTTGGACAGGGTCTTGCACTGTTGCCCAGGCTGTAGTGCAGTGGTGCCATCTCAGCTCACTGCAATCTGTGCCTCCTGGGTTCAAGCAATTCTCCTGCCTCAGCCTCCCGAGTAGCTGGGAGAACAGATGTGTGCCACCATGCCCAGCTAATTTTCTTTTTTTGGTATTTTTTTTTTAGTAGAGAAGGGGTTTAACCATGTTGGCTAAGATGGTCTTGATCTCATGACCTCGTGATCCGCCTGCCTTGGCCTCCCAAAGTGCTGAGATTACAGGTATGAGCCACTGCGCCCAGCCGCTAGCTTCTACTTTGACCTTAAATATCCACTTTCCCATCTTCTTCCCCCACCCACCAGCCTTCTGAGTGCTGGACTGAAGGATTAGCTAATTTTGAAAGCTGAGTGGCAAAACATTGGGCCCCAAGCCAGCAGACAGTCCCCACCTAGCTATGGGCTGTGACCCCATGCTGTGCCTATGAAAATGAGAAGCTACAAAGAAAGCCAGAAAACTCAGAGGTCCTGATAAGGCAGCCAGCCAGGCCCCAGGGAGGTGTCTGTGAGCGCTGCACAGGCAGTGAAGGCAAGAAGCAGGTTCCCTGCCTGGAAGGGGCTAGGGCTTCCCTGGAGCTGCACTCAGACACCAAGTCTGTGGGTCTCATGATTCTTACACTGCTGCTACATGTGGAGCCCCAGGATGGCCTGGAAGAACCCAGGGCACCAGCCACATCCCTGGAAAGCAACAACCTGTTGCCATAGGTTAAGCAAACCCAAGAGAGGAAACAGAGCCAGCAGGCGTGGGACAGGGAGGACCACTGGCCCCTCCTACTGTGGCACACACCGGTGGGCTCAGGCCAGGCCTGGAATGTAAAGATCGCGGAGGGCCAGCTGCTGGATGGCAGGGTGGCCCTCGAGGGTACCCTGCTTCCCCTTCCTCAAGGAGAGCCTCCATCCCACAGCCAGACCATAGGATGCAGAGCTCCAGGGTTTCACCCAGCTGCTCTAGTCACCGGTGCCTGGGAGGGCTGGCTCTGGAGGGCTGGGCTTGGCAGGCCAGGGAGAGCAAGGAGGTGGGGAGCTCCCAGCCTGCCGGCCCAGCCACCGGTCAGCACCCGCAGCCCCAGCCTTCTCCGATGTCCTTGCTGTTCAGCTGGATGTGGTCGGGGCTCTTCTCGCTGAACAGAGGGCCTCCGTGCCGCATGATGAGTTCCGTGGCCACCCTCAGGAAGGCCTCCTCCACGTTGCTTGAGTCCTTGGCAGACGTCTCAATGGCACACAGAATGTCATAATGCTCGGCCAGTCTCTGTGCCTCAGCGTGGGGGACCTCCCGAAGCTCGCTGAGGTCTGACTTATTCCCTGCAGAGGAAAGCCAGGGACAACATGAGGCCACGGGGGCTAGGCAGCCCAGTCTCACCTGGCAGGGCCACACTGACAGCTCCACACCATCCACTCCTCTCCACCACTACAAATGGACACCCCTGGGCATGGTCATCTGTCTTTCTTTAAAAAACCTTTTTAGGCCAGGTGCAGTGGTTCATGCCTGTAATCCCAACACTTTGGGAGGCTAAGGCAGGAGGACTGCTTAAGTCCAGGAATTCAAGACGAGCCTGGGCAACACAGTGGGACCCATCTCAAGTTACCCACCTCCTCCTAGAAAGTATGAGATGTCTTCATTATGTTCCAAATAATCTGTTAAATTGTTCCTTAACCCAATTTCTAGAATATGATTCACTTTTGTAATGTGGTTACAAGGAAGACAAAAAAAAAAAAAAAAGTCTGGGCTGGGCGTGGTGGCTTACGCCTATAATCCCATCACTTTGGGAGGCTGAGGCAGGTGGATCACCTGAGGTTGGGAGTTTGAGACTAGCCTGGCCAACATGATGAAACCCCATCTCTACTAAATATATATATATATATAATTAGCCAGGCATGGTGGTGGGGACCTGTAATCCCAGCTACTCTGGAGGCTGAGGCAGGAGAATCGTTTGAACCCAGGAGGCAGAGGTTGCAGTGAGCCAAGATCATACCACTGCACTCCAGCCTGGGCAACAAGAGCAAAACTCCATCTCAAAAAAAAAAAAAAAAAGTCTGTAAAGATCTAAAATTCCTTGGTAACCTTAATGAACATAGCAACCAATTTCAAAATGTGAAACTTATTTGGAACCTGGTCTTAACAAACTGGAAAAAATAAAGCACATATGAATTTTATGAGCAATTATAAATCTGAATACAGACTGGCTATTTGATATTATTAAGGAAATGTATTTTTAGATGAGAAAATAATATTGCTGGGTTTTTTTTAAATGTTTGCATATTTTGTAGGTTCATGTTAGAATACTGCCAGGTAAAAAATAGTTTGATGTGAATTTGTCTCAATAATACGAGGGGAGGAGGTGACATGGTACAGATGACAGGAGGTTGGACTTGTGTTGCCAATTGCTGAAGCAGAGTGATGGGTACCTAGGGGCTCATTATTATACTATTCTAAGCCAGATATAGTGGCTCACGCCTGTAATTCCAACTACTCGTAGTTTAAGGCAGGAGGATTGCTTGAGGTCAGGAGTTTAAGATCAGCCTGGGCAACACAGCAAGACTGCATCTCTAAAAATATATGTGTGTGTATACATCTATATATATGTATGTATAAATAAATACATAAAACACATTTTTGTAGCTGTATAAAATGTTTTATAATATAATGTTTTTTAATTAATTTATTTTTTGGGAGACAGAGTCTCCCTGTCACCCACGCTGGAGTGCAGTGGTACAATCTGGCTCACTACAATCTCTGCCTACCAGGTTCAAGCGATTCTTACACCTGGCCTCCCCTATAGCTGGGATTATAGGCATGCACCACCATGTCCAGCTAATTTTTGTATTTTTAGTAGAGGCAAGGTTTCACCATATTGCCCAGGCTGGTCTTGAACTCCTGAATTCAGGCAATCTGCCCACTTCGGCCTCTCAAAGTGTTAGGATTACAGATGTGAGCCACCAGGCCTGGCTAGGATATTTCTCAGAAATGTTCTGAATAGATCAAGCATGGTGGCTCACGCCTATAATCCCAGCACTTTGGGAGGCCAAGCCAGGTGGATCATGAGGTCAGGAGTGGAAGACCAGCCCTGTCAACAGGGCAAAACCTTGTCTCTACTAAAACACAAAAATTAGCTGGGCATGGTGGTAGGCACCTGTAATCCCAGCTATTCAGGAGGCTGAAGTAGAGAACTGCTTGAACCAGGGAGGTGGAGGCTGCAGTGAGCCGAGATAGCACCACAGCACTCCAGCCTGGGCAACAGAGTGAGACTCTGTCTCAAAAAAAAAAAAATGTTCTGGATAAAAGGGAAATGGTTAGGCCAGGTGGGGAAAGCTCCATTCCTGCCAAGCTCCATCTCCGAGTCCAAGCAGTCTGTGGAAGGCAGGCCACATGGAACCAGGCACCACCCTCTTCCCAGCTAGCGTCAGGTCCAGGCCCTGTCTGTACATTTGAGTCAGAAGAATCAACCTGTTGGCCCAGCTACTCGGGAGGCTGAAGCAGGAGAATTGCTTGAACCGGGGAGGTTGCAGTGACCCAAGATCCTGCCATGGCACTCCAGCCTGGATGACTGAGACTCCATCTCAAAAAAAAAAGAATCAACCTGTTGGGGCAAGGACCCCAGGGATAACATAAGGGCTAAAGAGCTTCTCCAGTCTAGGTCTGGGAAGGTTATATAGAAGGAAAACAGAGGTAAACAGCATCCTTTTATAGCAGCAGTTCTCATAGCGGGGTCCTTGGACCAGCAAGGTGGGTGTCACCTGGGAACTTGTTAGAAATGCACATTCATGGGCCCTACCCAACCCTCCCGGATCAGACACTCTGGAGGCGAGGCCCTGCACCCGCACTTGAAGAAGTCTTCTGTAAGATGCTAGGCACACAGGCCATCAAGTGTCCCTGCTCTGTGTGCGGCATAATAGAAACCCACAGACTTGAGGTCAGCAAAAACAAACTCAAAGCCTACATGTGTATGCTGATAGGCGGGGTGGGCCCAGATAAGTTACCCCACTTTTCTGAGCCTAGCCCCAGCCCCTGTCAAACGAGGAGAAGCTGGGATACAAGAAATAAACTTTGACACATGTGAAGACCAATGACGTACAGAGCCTATGGAAACACATAAGAATTGCAGAGCAAGCTTCAGCTCCCTTTCTTCTTTCCTCTAACTACAAATCTGAATATTACTGTATAAATGATTAGTGGGACCAGGATTTGCAAAACCATGGCTCAAACTCTGGCTGGGACTCCCTCTGGACTCAGGCTTATCCTGTGTTTAAAAAGCGAGGTTATTGAGGACTACATGATTAGGTACCGGAAGAAAAAAAAAAAAAAAAAAAGCAGAGGGAGGCAGAGATAGGCAGAGTGATGGGATTCGTGGTCCCGAGGAACCCCTCACTCACCGATCAGCAGCTGCACAATATTGGAGCCTGCATACTTCCTCACATCCCCGATCCAGTGAGGCACTGACAGGAAGGAGCTCCTCTTGGTGATGTCATAGGCGAGGATGGCCCCGTTGGCACTGCGGTAGTAGCTCTGGGTGATGGTGCGGAACCGCTCCTGGCCGGCTGTGTCCCAAATCTGCAGCTAAAGAAACAGAGTTCCTCAGTGAACCCAGTGGCACAAGGTGAACACAGGGACAGGCAGAGCGACCCCATAGACCCACACCCAGAGTCATGGTTCTACTGGGCCAGGAGGTGCACACACACACAGAGAGGCCTTCTGAGCCCTTAGAAAGCAACTCAATGGCGCAACCTTACTGAAAAAATGATGCAAAGGGAAGGTGAGCAGCCCCTGTCCTGGCCTTCTAGGGTCTCTGGGGAAAGGTGGAGGAAGGGTATACTCTGAGTTGGCCCAGATCTTCTGTATGCCCCTCTCCCCTCACCACTGGACCCACTGCTGGGAACACAGAACCACCAGAGCTCAAGTGGCCGGCGGCTGGAAAGCTGGCTCCAGGTGTGCTGCACGGCTGGCAGTGCACACAGCCAGGTCCCCTCCCCTGCAAGTGCACCATGTACCCAGCATGTGTGAGGCTCCTCCAGCATTAGGGTTCCCTCAGGACTGTACAGCTTGGTGATGACAGCTATGGGAAGGGTGCCTGGTGGTGGCAATGGGCAGAGTCCTTCCATGGGGCCTTTGAGTACAAGGCAGTTTCTATCAGCTTACCCAGCTTGGCCAAAGCAAGGAGCTTGGGGGCTTTTCCCACCCATGTCTTCATTTAACACCTACTCCACCCCACCTCCCACCAGATGTGGGCTGTGGAGGAGAGGTACCCGTTGGCAGGTGGAACTTCCCTAGCGTCTTTTAGAAGCAGAGTCTGGCAGGATGGACACCAGTCCAGGCAGGGGCAGAGGCCTGTGTGGGGCCAGGAGGCTGCCCACTCTGGGCAGACATCACAAGCTGTGGGCCTGGGAGAGCCTGGACTTTGGGCAGGCATCTGCCCAGGCTCTCGGTGACCAAACGCCTCGGGGGATTGGGTGTGTCTTCTCTGCCCCACCAATCACAGGTTCTCTTGGCTCTCTGAAGACAGGCACTGAGCCTGTCATGCATGCTGAGCTGCAGGTCCATCAGCACCCTTTGCAGGCACAAACACTCGGGTGCCTCTTTACCTAGTTCTCAAGGTATGGAAGAAAGGGCTTTCTCTCAAGGTCTGTCTGGGGTAGGGAAAGACCACAGAGGCCCAGACAGTTCCTGAAGGCAGGACCTCTGTCCCTGGCACTGTGGAGGTGACCACCATTTTCCCAGCCCCAACAAAGAGAAGTCTGAGAGTTAAAGCTCTGGGCCCTTTCCTGAGTTGTCCCATTTACTCCTCAGTGAGTGGCTCCAAGAAAACCAGGCCTATAGTTCATGCATCTAGCAGCTCACACATGGCAGCATGGGGTGAAATGCAAGGTTTATGTGTGCACCACACAAGCCTGGGATCCAGAAAACCTCTGGTGTGGAGACGAGTGAGGAGAACACGTAACATGAAAGACACAGGCCAAACAACAGCAAAAGTGCAACGTGGAAGAAACAAACAACACAGAGGCAAAGTCCTCAAGCAATCATCAATATTTCAGAAATAGGGAAAGACCCATCAAACGAGAAAAGAATACTATCTTTTTTGGTAAGGGGCATTCAGAAAGAAAAATAAGCTCAATTAAAAATATGATAACATAAATGAAAAACGCAACACCAGGGTTGAAGATAAAGTTGAAGAAACCCCTCCAAAGTAGAGAAAAATACAAAGAAATGAAAAAAAGAGAAAATAAAATTATGCACTGGGCACAGTGGCCCACGCCTGTAATCCCAGCACTTTGGGAGGCCGAGGCAGGAGGATCACCTGAGATAAAGAGTTCGAGAATAGCCTGGCCAACATGGTAAAACCCCATTTCTACTAAAAATACAAAAATTAGCTGGGTGTGGTGGTGCACACCTGTAATCCCAGCTACTGGGGAGGCTGAGGCAGAAGAATCACTTGAAGCTGGGAGGCGGAGGTTCCAGTGAGCTAAGATCACGCCACTTCACTACAGCCTGGGTGACAGAGCGAGCGAGACTCTGTCTCAAAAAAAAAAGAAAAGAAAAGAAAAGAAAATTATAGAACCAGCCTAGGAGAGCAGGATAATCAGAGTTTCAGAAAAAAAGAACAGTAAAATCAAGGAGAGGAAATCAAACAAGTATTTCAAGCAAAGTACCCAGAATTGGCTGAGGGGCCCACCAAACACACACAGAATGGGGCAGAGCAGACCACACTGCATCCATGGGTGGAAATTCTAGAACAAAGCAAGAAGAATGAACACAAAACCCATGTGGCATTAGATAGCCAATGAAATAATGCCTTAAAATGAGGAAAAAAATTATTTCCAACTTAAGAGTTCTCTACCCAACCAACCAACATTCAAGTGTGAGGGTTTAATAAAGGCATTCCCAGAAATACATTCCTCGAAAAATTCACCTTCTTGGCACCCTTCCTCAGGGAGTGACTGAAAGTTTCTCTATATAAAGAAGTCAACCAAAAATAAGAAAATGTGGAACCCAGAAAACAGAGAGTTCAACTGAAAAGGGAGGCAAAGGGAGATGCCAGGATGATGGAGAGATCCCAGGATAAAACCTGAGCAGCAGCCTAGACATCAGCCAACCTGGAGCCGGTCAGAGGGCTCCTGGAGCAGCTTCCAGCCATGGCAGGATCGCTGGTGGCAGAGTACCCCTCCCTCCACACACAACCACAGGACTGGAGAAACTATATAGTGGCTGTTGTTTTGGGAATGTAGACAAGCAGCACGAGACCATAATCCCTAAAAGAGGCAAAACTCATGAAAGGTACCTCATGATCATCGCAACACTCTACCTGGGAGTTTTCTGACCATGGGGCTAGAATCCATGCAGAACACAGTGGTCCCACTGAGCTAAGGAGGCAGAGATCAGGGTCTGGAGCAGATGCTGTGACGAAATGAGGAGTCATACACAGGGGGAGCCCAAAAGTCTATGTGAGGTGTCCCAGTGAGCCCTTGACCAGAGAGTGACCCCTCCAGAGTTGAGAACAGATCAGAGATAGAGGTTCAGGAGTGCTGGGGGATGTTGAAGTTCCAAGCCAGACACAGTGAAGAGGCCTCATTAGTGTCTCATTAGTGCCCTGTATATGAGTTGAGCTATCATATCAGAATGTCACTATGAGTGACCATGCCTAAAGAAAGGTCTCCATAGACCTGCCCTAACCAACGTAAGTCTGGGGTTTGGAAGTTGAGTTCTTCCACATTAGAGAAGCTGAGGAAACGCCTTAGTTTTTCCACATATCCACCCTAACAAAACATAAAAATAAGCCTAAACAAACAAGTTCAAGGTGACGAGCCAGTAACTGAATTGACTAGGACAAGAATCAACACTCTTCTAAAGAAGATAACAGAATCCAGAGTCTCATTATCAACCACGATTTCCAGATACTACTGAAAATTGCTAAACATGCAAATAAATAGGAAAATGTGAACCACAGATAAGGGAAAAAGCAATCTATAGACACTGATGACAAAATGGTTCAGATTTTGCATTTAGTAGGCAGACTTTAAAGCAGCTATTTTAAATATGTTCAGAAAATTATAAGAAAAGTGTGTTCAAAAAATTAAAGAAAAATATGATCATACTGAGTGGACAAATATGGGATTTAAGGAAAGAAATAAAAATTATTTTTTAAAACATTAAAAAACGTTTTGTTAAACTATTTATTATTAAAATTACTGGCCAGGTGCAGTGGTTCATGCCTGTAATCCCAGCACTTTAGGAGGCTAAGGCAGGCAGATCACCTGAGGTCACGAGTTCGAGGCCAGCCTGGCCAACATGGTAAAACCACATCTGTACTAAAAATATAAAAATTAGCCAGGCATCGTGGTATGCTCCTGTAATCCCAACTACTTGGGAGGCTAAGGCACGAGAATCCCTTGAATCTTGGAGGAAGAGGTTGCAGTGAGCCCAGATCGTGCCACTGCACTCTAGCGTGAACAATAGAGTGAGACTGTCTCAAAAATAAATAAATGTGTGTGTGTGCGTGTGTGTGTGTGCGTGTGTGTAAACTTAAGTTTTTAATGAGTAGAAATTCTAGAACTAAAAATTATATTAAGAGAAAAAGTCACTGGATAAGCTCAACAGTGGATTATAGATGGCAGAAAAAAAAAATCAGTGAACCTGAAGAAAAATCAATAAAGAGTTAATTTGAGGAAGGGGAAAAAAGATTGAAGAAAATGAATAAAATCACAGGGATATGTGAAATAATACCAAACTGTCTCAATTGCAGTTCCAGGAAAAGATAGTGATAATGGGGAAAAATATTCAAAGAACAAATGGCTGAAAAATCTCCAAATCTGATGAAACACACTGGCTTAAAGATCCAAGAAGCTCCGCAAACCCCAAGCAGAAAAAATACAAAATACACCAAGGCAGATCACAGTCAAACTAACAGAAAACAAGAATAAAGGGGAAATATGAAAAGTAGTCTGATAAAAGATATATTCCATACATGAGAACAACAATACAAATGACAAATAACTTCTTAGAATAATGGAGGCCAGAAGACAATGCTGAGAAGTGCTAACAATAAAAAAAAAAGTATAGAAAGAAAAAACTCTCAACACTGAAGTCTGTCAAACAAAATTTTCTCTCAAAAGACAGGGTGAAATCAAGACATTTCCAGATAAATGAAAGTAAAGAGAAGCTCCTTGGAAAAAAGCCTCCCTGCAAGAAATGCCAGATGGCACCACCGCACTCGAGACCCTATTTCAAAAGAAGAGTTGGAAGTGGCTGCCCTAGGGCAGTTGGGGGTATCCTAAGACCTTCTGGTACCAAGCCTTGCAGAATCAAATGACTCCTCAAACCATACACAAGTGTAAGTTTGCTTAAAATAAAAACTAAATGAGCTCCAAGCCTGCTCTGGTGCTTTGGATCTGTTTTGATCAGTCCTTACAGTTGCTCATCAGACCCCAGGAGCCAAAATGGTGAAGCAGATCGAGAGCAAGGTTGCTTTTCAGGAAGCCTTGGACTCCTCGGGCAAAAAACTTGTAGTTGTTGACTTCTCAGACACGTGGTGTGGGCCTTGCAAAATGATCAAGCCTTTC